CAGCAGCAACAGCAGCAGCGTAGGCAGACGCAGCAGCCCGGACCTTGGCAGTGGGCGCCGCGTTCGCCGCGAACCGGACCGAAGACAACAGCAGCAGCAGCAGCAACAACAGCAGCAGCAGCAGCAGCAGCAGATAGAAGCACAGACAGCTGAGCTTGACAGGTACCGAAGAGCGTTTAGCACCATGAGGCAGCACGCAGAGGCGATGCAGCAGCAGCACCAACTGCAGCTGCAGCGAAAGACGGAGTCTTTAGTCGAGCTGCAGCAGCAGCTGCAGCAGCTGGAGCAGCAGCAGCAGCAGCAGCAGCAACAGCAGCAGCAGCAGCGGCAGGCACTGCAGAAAGCAGAAAAACACGCCGAAGTAGGGGCAGTCTTGCTAGACCAAACCCTTAACTGAAACCCTAAACCCTAAACCCTAAACCGTAGAGGGGTGTGAAGACGAAGCCTCACCAGCACAGACTGCTAAGGGTTCAGGACAGGCAGCAGCAGCAGATGAAGATGCTGCAGCAGCGAGCTGTTGCAGGTTGCTGCTGCTGCTGCGTGGCAGCAGCAGCAGCAGCAGCTTCTGCTGCACAGCTGTTGTACTTTTCAGGCCTTGCGAGAGGAAGCAAATGCCTTAAGGGCCACCATTGAAGACTTGCAGGTGAGCTGCAGCAGCTGCTGCTGCCGCAGCTGCTGCTGCTGCAGCAGCTGCTGTTGTTGATTTAGCTGCTGCTGCTTATTCTGCTGCTGCTGCAGCGGCACTCACTGCCGCTGCTGCTGCTGGTGCCACTGTCGCTGCTGCCCTTGTTCTACGGGCGCTTGTGAAATTTGTTTATTGAGCAGCAGCAGCAGCAGCAGCAGAGGCAACAGCAAATTGCATGCATTCGGTGCAGGAGGAAAGGGCTTTGCTGCTGGACGTGTCCAATCGGCTGCATTTTGCTTCATTGCTGCGGAAGCCCTCGTCAGCAGCAGCTGTGGCTGCTGCAGCGCAGCTAACGCAGCAGCAGCAGCAGCAGACGCAGCGGGAGCAGCAGCAGCAGGAGCAGCAGCAGCAAACGGTGCTCGGCGTGCAGGGCACGCACACAGGACCAGCAGCAACAACAGCAGCAGGAACAACAGCAGCAGCAGCAGCAGCAGCACAAAGCGTCAAGCGCCTTTCCAGCACGGCCCCTGCTGCTGCTCTGCGAGGGTGAGGAGCACAAACCCTAAACCCTAAACCCTGCAAGCAGCAGCACGCAAACCCTAAACCCCAGTTTTGATTTCGAAACTTTGGTTTGCTGAGGCGAGTCAGGATGCGGAGGCAGGTAACAGCAGGGGCCCGGCTGCGCCAGCAGCAGCAGCAGCAGCTGCAGCAGCAGCTGCAGCAGCAGCAGCAGCTGCAGCAGCAGCAGCTGCCGCTTAGAAGAGGGAGCTGCAGCAGCGCAGCGGATACGCCTTTGCGGTGGATACTGGAGAAGACGGTGGGGGCGGTGCGAGCTGCTGCTGCTGCTGTTGCTGCTGCTGCTGCTGTTCGCCCTTTTTTTTATATTGAGCCCCTGCTGCTGACAGAGGGCTGCAGCAAAAGCGGCTTGCTGCTCCGCTGCTGCTGCTGCTGCTGCCCGTCTTAGTAGCATAAAATAAACATCTGAAGTTCATAACAAATGCAGTTTAGTTTTTTAATTAATTTAAATCGAAGACAATTAATAAACACAATTAAACTTTTCTCTCAAGAACCAGAAGGACCGCTTTTGGGGCCCTGCCCCTCCCTGCAGTGTACGTACACCCGATTCAGGTGTATGTACACCCTGCGTGCATGCATGCATGCATGCATGCATGCATGCATGCATGCATGCATGCATGCATGCACGCATGCATTCAATCAATAAATACATAAATATAAAGCGCGTTTTAGTACAGTATCGGCCAGTTTTAAATAGACTTTTATTAATTTCTTTGCAGCTTTAAATACACTTTTGTCCCGTGCGATTTCAGGTGTACGCACCAGCTGCATGCATGCATGCATGTCATATATATACATATAGATAGTTATATATAGATATAGATATAGTTATATATATATACATCTATATATACATTTATATGATATATATGTATATATTATATAGATATATATAAATGCATAATATAAACCATATATATTATACATATAAATGTATAATTATCTTTTCATTGTTCTAAACACCTGCCGAAGTACATTTCTATAAAGACATATATGGGCATTTGCATGCACATGTGTATATTATAGATTAACTTTATAAATGCAAATATATATATATATATATAATTGTAAATGTCTTTACATAAAATATATATACACACATATATCCATGACGTATAATATCATTATGCAATAATACGATAATACAATATTCACATATATATATATATATACATATTATATTTATATATTATATATATATAATATATATATATTTAGATATATATGTATAAAGGATAATTACATTGTTACGAGGTATATATTTGATACATAGCATAGATAATATATATATATATATATTATATATATATATAAATAAGTGAATATCCATATATATATATACATAATAAAAAGAAAGATATGCTTATATTGTAGATGTATACCAATGCATTTTATAAGTATATATTTATATGTACCAGACAACATAAATATAAACATATATATATATATATATTGTAGATGAAGAAGTTTATATTATATACTCATATATATATGCATATTTACACAATAAATAAGTAGATATACATGTATATATATATTATTAGAAGCAAGAATATATATAAATATATACAATATACTTTTACATATATATAAGTATTAAATATATCATAGATGTAAATGCAAACATATGTATATGTTATTAAATTTATATTTATATATATATATATTTATATATATATATATGAATGTGTGTGTGTCCAAGTACACTACAGTTGCACATGCATCTACAACTTAAGATACTTATAAAATATTTTAAAATATATTTTATTAATTCTTACTGAATTCAATTTTATATTTATATTTGCAGGCGCACGGACAAGAACGCCCCAATTGGCTTTATTTCCCTTTGTAGAGTTGCATGCATGCATTATACACACTTGCATGCATGCATTTTATAGCCTTACATGCACGCACTTTATAAGTTTGCGTGCATGCGTTTTATTGATTTGCATGCATGCAGTTTACAGGCTTGCATACATGCAAGCTTTTGGCATTTGTGGCAATTCTGTTGGCCTTGAAAGCAGAATAAAAGGCACAAAATGATTAATTTTGAATTTAATTCATTTAAATTTGAAATTAAATTATTTTATAATCTGTTTAATTCATTTAAATTTGAAAATAAGTGAACTGCGCAAACGCCGGCGCGGCGGCGGCGGGGAGTTGCCGGCGCGGTGTACGTACGCCTGAAGCTACAGAATTCAGTGGCACTTTTTTTTTAATTTTTTTGCAAATAAAGAGTTTAATAGAACACAAATATAAAATATCTCATGAATATTAAAATACAGAACTCAAATAAAGGATTTAATGAAAAATAAATCTGAAATAGATCCGCAGTGGAGTCTTCAGGTGTACAGACACCAGCGCAATCACCTAGAAGTGCACTGGAGGCCGCAAAATTCCAAATCTAGATCTCGATCTAAATGTGAATTAAAACTTAAATTAAAATTAAAATTTGTACTTAAATTTGAATTTAAATTTAAATTTAAATTAAATATACACGTGCATTTAATTCATTTTCGGCGCTTTACACCAGGGCGCTGATGGCCCTCCAGCTGGAGAAAGTGAACTCAGGGTCCTAAACCCTAACCGCTAAACCCTAAACCCTAAACCCTTGAAGAGAAGTAGATTTGTTGCTGTGCGTTCTTGCGGACAGGGCTCTTCTTGTGTTCTTATTCCTTCTAGGGCAGCCACCTGGGACGGTGGTTTCCCCTCGCCGCAAACCCTAAACCCTAAACCCTAAACCCTAACGTAGGGCTTGCACAGCTACTGCTGTCGCCGTGAGTTGCTGCAAAAGCGCAGAAGCGCCTTTGTTCCTCAACCTTAAGTGCAGACCGTAGACCCTAATTGTAAACCCTAAACCCTAGTTGTGAACCCTAAACGCAACTGTAAACCCTAGGCCATAAGTGCAAACCCTCAATCCTCTGCAGAAGGTGGAGGGTTTGCAGTTAGGGTTTAGGTTTAAACCTGAGGGTTTATAAGAAGGGGATTTAAATAAGTTGTATATTTTCATCTGCTGCTTCTAAGGCCCTTTACTTCAGGGTTTCAATCCTAGGGTTTAGGGTTTGAGGTTTCTGGTTTAGGGTTTGCACTTGTGCGTTCAGATTTTAGCTCTTCGGTTTCTGGGTAAAGGGTTTAGGGTTTAGGGTTTAGACATGAGGGTTTACGAATACCGGGGGGCCCTGCAGCAGTGTTTGTGGCCAACGGGAGCCCTACTGCTGTTGCTTAGCAGCAGCAGCAGCGCAACAGCAGCAGCAGCAGCAGCAGCGCAGCAGCAGCAGCAGCGCAGCAGAAGCAGAAGCGCAGCAGAAGCAGCAGCGCAGCAGCAGCGTAGCCCCAGGGCGTAAAGGGGAGGGCCTGAGAGGAGCAGAAGGAGCAGCAGCAACAGCAGCAGCAGCAGCAGCAGCAGCACGAAATCCCCGAATTGAATATTTAGTTTTTTTTGCGGAAGCAAATATGCATGCGTGTGCTGCTGGCTGCGGGAGGTGTACGTACACCGTATTTGCGCGCTGGTGTACGTACACTCGAATTAGTTCAAAAAAAAGAACAATAGATTACAAATGATTTATTTCTTTTAGTTCAATGAATTATTTATTTGTGAATTTAAAATCAAAAACTTGCCCAAATGCATTTCTAAACATATTTTTATTTACACATTTGTACAAATGTGTCCAAACAGATCCACAAGGATTTGCAAATCAAGTACTTGTGTAAATTTATTTGTTGTTTGTATATATATGTGTAAATTATATAAAACTGTTTTTGTGTCTGTATATATTTATATATATATGTACGTATATAGCAGCAGCAGCAGCAGCAGCAGCAGTAGCAGCAGCAGAACCGAAACACCTGTAGCACGACGGCACTCCACAGCAGGAGGAGCAGCAGGAGCAGCAGGAGCAGCAGCAGAAAGAAAGCCCGCACAGCTCCAGCACGGCTGTCTGCTACAGTACAAACAGCAGCAGCAGCAGAAGCAGAAGCAGCAGCAGCAGAAGCAGCAGCAGCAGCAGCGGCGGCGGCGAGCAAAGCGCAGAGCGTGAGGACTTCTTGGGCAAGGACTTGAGCTTTTCCTGCTGCAGCTGTTTTATTCATTTAATGCATTTAATTCATTTAATTCATTCAATTCATTTAATTCATTTAACTCATTTGGATTTGAACTCCATTGCCATTTGTTTGCTCTCGGCCGAACATGCATGCGTTTCGGGTGTACGTACACCCGAAACGCATGCAAATCCTGCAAACGAACTTTCCTCTTTTCGCATGCAGCTGCATTTTGGTGGATAATTTGGAAATGTGAATTTAGAAGGCTTAAAGATATTTATTTTTAAAAAGAATTCCAAAAATAAATTTGAAAATGATTTTATTTGAACAGCAAAATGCACCAACTCTATTCGCTGCGGTGTATGTACACCCCAGAGCCCCGTGAGCGCCGCCGCAGCAAAACTAGCAACAGAAGCAGCAGCAGCAGCAGCAGCGGCAGCGGGAACATAGCAGCAAAAGCAGCAGCAGGCGAGCGGCAGAAGGAAAACCCAAAGCAGCAGCAACAGCAGCAGCAAAAGAAGCAAAAGCTGCAGCAACAGCGGCAGCAAAAGCTGCAGCAAAGACTACGACAAAGATACTAGTTCAGCAAGTCCTAGCATAATGACCAGCAAAACTGAAGCAGCAGCAGCAGCAGCTGCTGCTCCAACAGCTGCTGGCAGCAGTGAGTCGCAGCAACAAAAGCTGCAGCAGCAACAAAAGCTGCAGCAGCAACAAAAGCTGCAGCAGCAGCGTCCGCAAGGCCAAACAGGAAGTTTACAGAAGAAAAAATGAAAACAGTTATTTGCATAAATATCAAGCACAACGGCAAGTCCCGTCCACGTCGCCCTGCTGCTGCTGCTGCTGCTGTTGCTGCTGCTGCTGCTGCTGCTGCAGCTGCAAGGCGGCTAACAGCAACGCTCAGTCTGTCTCCTTTGGCGGATCTGCAGCCGTTAGGGGCAACAGCCGCGTTCCAGCACATCTAAACTGAAGCAGCCTGGGCCCAGCTAGCTAGCTAGCTAGCCAGCTAGCTAGCCAGCTAGCTAGCTAGCCAGCCACTAGCTGCGAGCTGCAAGACAGCAGCTCGCTGCGCTGCTGCCCATCCCCTCAGCCCCTCCGCCTCTGCTCGATTCCCACGGGCTCGCTGGCTTCCAATCAAGCTAGCTAGCTAGCTAGCTCACAGGCTAGCTAGTTGGCTAGCTAGCTAGCCAGCTAGCTATCCGGCTAGCTAGCTGGCTGGCTAGCTAGCTAGCCAGCTAGCTAGCCCGCCACATTGGGGCAACTTGTCCGCAGGCGGCGAGGCGACAAACGGTGAATCAAACGCACCATACAACTGCTGCGTCTGGCCAGCTAGCCACCCAGCTAGCTGGCTAGCTAGCTAGCCAGCTAGCTAGCTAGCCGTCCAGCTAGCCACCCAGCTGGCTGGCTAGCTAGCTAGCCAGCTAGCTAGCTAGCCGTCCAGCTAGCCACCCAGCTAGCTAGCCAGCCAGCTATCCAGCTAGCCAGCTACCCAGCTAGCCAGCCAGCTAGCCAGCCAGCCAGCTAGCCAGCCAGCTAGCCAGCCAGCTAGCTAGCCAGCTAGCCAGCCAGCTGGCTAGCTAGCTAGCTGCGGGGTCTGTTGCGGTAAGCAAAGGCTCCAAAGAGGGCCCCCAGGTTAGTTTATTTGTGGGAAATGAGGGAAGAGGTAACAAAGGGTTGCTGCTGAGACGTTGCCTGCAGTAACGGCGAGCCGCAGCAAGTGGCAGCTTGGGGAGAAAACGGCGAATAAATCTGTAAATTTAAACGCCTTTTTGAATTTCGAACTTCTTTTTGGATTAAAAATGCTTTTCTGGATTTAAAATTCGAAAAGAGAACTAAAAAACGTAAAAGAGCAGCAGACGCCGCCTGGTCTGCACTTGAGGCCCCAGCGCGCCGGCTGCAATCGAGGCTGCGGCGGGGCCCCCGGGGCCCTGGAGTGCCTCTCTGGCGCAATTAAATTCAATTTTGAGGAATTATTTCGTAAATTAATTTCAAAACAAATCCTTTTCCAACAAAAACTGCGAAGAAGACACCCCGGAACGTCCGCGGGGCCCCAACAGCAGCAGCTGCTGCTGCTGCCTGGGGCTTCCTCCGCATGCAGCTTTTCTGCAGCAGCAGCCCGAAACTCTTTGTTATTTATTTCCTGAGGGGTTTCTACAAATTCAAGGAGCAGCAGCAGCAACTGCTGCTGCTGCTGCAGCAGATAACATCTGAGTAGCAGTACATTGCTGCACATGAAAAATTTCGCCCGCGTGGGAGAGGAGCAGCAAGACGCTCACAAGCAGCAACAGCTGCAGCAGCAGCAGCTGCTGCTGCACCAGCAGCTGCAGCAGCGGCACGCATCGAGCTAGAAACAGGAGCAGTACAAGCGGCTGCAGCAGCAGCTGTGGGAGGGGTCGAACACGCAGCAGCTGCTGCAGCAGCTGCAGCAGCAGCTGCAGCAGCAGCTGCAGCCGCTGCATTCGGTGCGCCGCTGCAGCGAGTTAATGTTCTGGGCCCAACAAATCAATTCGCTGCTTTTCTCTCCCAGCAGCTAGCTAGCTAGCTAGCTAGC